TGTGAACTGGCTGAATCCCACCACTGCCCGCATGTAATGTTTAATTTGGTGCTTCCTTAGACTAGGTTTCTGCATTTTTTTAGTTATAAACTATGGTTTGTTAATAACTAGTACAGTTTCATTTGAACATGTTCTTAAGTAAATGGACTTCAGAGATGACATTATTAGTTTTTTTTGGTTTGTTTGCTGCGGCATTCTTCTTACTGCTACTTTAGATGTTGCTTAAACTGCATATTAAAGATAATTTCATTGACTACACTTTTTGAGTGTAATAATATTTAACTACGGGTGTTTTTTATTTTTTTGTCATCTTATTCCTCTTTAGTTATAAATCTTTTGCTTTAGTGTAGTATCCACCTGTAGTAGGTTAAATGAGTTGTATGGCTTTGTAAGGTCTAACATTTTTCCACTGAAATTTCACAGACTATTTATTTACTGAAATACATGTTTGAAAATTGAAGAAAAGACAATTTAGTGTACTTTCTTGATATTTCCATGAAAGTAAGAGATTTTCCTATTAATTTGATACCTGTAGGTTTACTCAGTAATTCTTGTTTTGTTCGGTTTATTTCTTGATTTTTTATCAACGTTTTGAGTGATTCATCCCATGCATTCAGAAATATATTATAGTTCATTGGGATTTTTTAGATTTTGTATTTAATATTATTTTCCTGTGTTTAGTTTTTGTGTTCTCAAAATATGAATAAAGTATCGATATTTTCATTTCAAGATATTTTATGAGAATCTAGTTGAATGGAATCAAAAATACAAACACCATTTGGTGAACAATAACACTGCTTCATAGTATCTTTGTTGAAAAACAGTAAGTGATGATTGAAAATGAATTTTTCATATACAGAAACTATAGAAATATATATTGAAAGGAAAAGATTTTTCAGGAAAAAACTATTTTCATTTGAATTATATGTATTTATATTATTTATATATCAGTTTACTACCTAATTTTCTAATCACTGGTTTTTAAGTACATTTTATAATTCTACATAATTTTTATGCGGATGAGAATGTAAAAGTTTTGTTATTTTGGAGTATGCATGAAACTTTTTATTGTTTTAGATTCATTTTTGTATATAGTTATTTTTTTTTATCGATTAGATCTACTTTGTTAGTTGTTTTTTTTTCATTGTTTAATCCTTTCCTACTTGGAGTAGTTATCTTAGTGCTGTATGATTTTTTCGTATATCTATATATATACATAGGGTTTGATAAGGCAACAGAAAATTCTCTAATTTTTTGGTATTAATTTGAAATAGGAAGGAATATTTTTAAAATGATACATTAACTTTGCTGAAATTAACTTTTAAAACCACAGATATCAAATGTAGTGGCTACTGAACTTTGTGAAACTCAACAATAAATTCTGTCCTTGTAAATAGACTACATCATCTTAAACCTAAAAAGCAATATATAATGGAAACAAACTATATTTTAAACCCAATAAAAGCTATTTTAAATAATTTTTTTCTTTGTATGCAAAACATAGATTATTATCAGTAAACGGTTGACTAGTGTCTCATTCTTTTCAGTGATTTGTGTACGTATTGGTACATTCCACACAAGTGATTTAATTTTGTTGGGCTTTGCTAGTTGAAAGACCTAGTCATAGTATCTAACAAGTTAAAGATTAAGTTTATCATATGTTGTTTACCCTAATGGTGAAAATGATCAAATGGGTTATCTTAAAAGAACTGTTCAAGCAGTATTTTTTCTGACTTGTTAACATGGTATCATTTAAGTGGAAAAACTAAAAAAAAGAAGAGAGAAAAAAAGTAGGTTGAATCTGATTATTTGGGGGGGGGGGATATTGTCAAGGTTAGTTTATGCTCATGACTAAATTATATTAAAGATGCATATTCATAGTGTTATAGAGGTGTACCTAAATTTAAAAAAGTAAATAAGTAATAGCAGACCATTTTGTGGTGTTGAGAATGCCAAGTGGGAAAGGATTTGTTTTTCTTCATTAAGAGAGAATTATTAATTAATTTTTTCCACTTAAATCTTTTTTTTTTCATGTGTATGCAAGATAATAATTAAGAAAATATGATAAACAGAGTTAAGAAATGTTACATTTCAATTAATTAAATTAAGTCTACTGTGTCTATTTGCATAGGTTTCATCCCTTTTGCTCCCAGGGTTAGGATATTTTTTATATTTTTTTTTTGACGTGACAGAATTGTTTTCTGCTTTCTTTTTTTTTTTTCCCCTTTAGCTGAGCCAAACCTGTAGAGACCTGCCTATGTTCGGCCTGAGCACTGTGAGTTGATGTACCACTTGAATAGTTGAACTCCTACCATTATTTTCATATATTCCACATTCCTTGCTCTTTTATCTCCTGTTTATCCCTGGCTACATGTATTCCACTTAATGATACTTGTAAATTGAAGTAAGAGAAATATGCTATTACAGTAGTTGTGATAGAAGTGAGGAAAACTTACTATTACAGTACATATAGTAAAAGTGAAGAAATCTTGGTATTAAAGTACCAGTAATAGAAGTGAAGAAAGCTTGCTATTATAGTACATGCAATACAATGTGAGGATAGTATTGTACTCTTTATGTGGGGTCCCTTAAAGTGTTTTGTTTCAAGAATAAATAAAACCAAAATTAAGAATAACAAATATTTTTATTTCTTGCTTTTTGAAGTTCATTTGTCATTCCGTATGATAGCCTACAGAGTTCATAATTCTTCTCATGATTCATGACATATGCATACTTTACTGATGTCACGACGGTACAAACTGCAATGTTAAGTGTCTTGTATGTGATGTCATTTTAGGGTCAACTGACTGACAGACAGCACACTACTGTATAGTGGTGCAACTTGTTAAAACAGGTGACCCCTCCAAGTGGCCTTCGGCCCATTTCTGGGAAGTTGAAGTGAGGAAAACTTGCTATTATAGTACACGTAGTAAAATTGAGAAAATCTTGGTACTACAGTACCTGTAGTGGGAGTGTAAAAATGGCTATTACAGTACCCTGAGCCAAAGTTTCTTATGGATATGGCTTTAAGGGCGTAAGATGTATGAAACTGGTGATGGTACTGAGAGATGATATATAATGAAGTTGTACAAGTTTTGAATAATGAACAAGAGTATTTCATCAGGATTGGATGTAGAAGAAAGATCTTAGTCCCATAATTGACTAGGCTAGTGAATAAATGGAAAAATGGTTTACCCAGACAAAAAAAAAATACACCTTTGGTGCTAAATTTTCTTAATTCTTTTCAAAAAAGTTCTCTTTATTTCACTTTATTGTTATTTTTTTGGTTCTGTTTAGTTTGTGTATGTAAAAATAAACTTTGTTAAAATATTTAAGAAGTAATGTTGCATTATGTATAGTTTAAAATGATATAATTGATTGTATGTGCAAAATAAAAAATATTTAAAAATTATTTTCAAATACTTGTTTAATACATGCATTGAGCTTGAGAAATAAATCACTTACAAACACAATTTCAATGAAACTAAACTATGTAGACTTAGTTAATCTTGATAAGAAATTAAGTTTTGTTAAGTTTAAAGAAGAATACTTTAAAGCTGTTAAATAACTAATATATTTTAAGCTGTTTCATCATTAAACTGAAATATTTGTTTAGTTTTTACAATGCTAAAGTATCGTTGGTATGCTAAGATAATGGAAAGAATATAAACTACTCTTATGTCAAATTGTTTAATTTTTTTTTTTGTTGAGATCCATGGTAACTCAGCTGCAATTAATTGTTTTTTGTGTGAAATTCCTAAATTAAAGCCATGTTAAATCAAGCAACAAACTTTTGATTGTTTTAATCTATCAAAGAGCTACCTGTAATACTCAGTCATAGTACAATGATGTATAATAAAGTTTTTTATATTTTAATTTTAAAGGCCTGCAATATATATATTATTAAATACCTGCAAATATCAAAGTTAAAATATCGCATTCCATGTTTTCCACAGTCTAGCAACCCTTAACTGTATTTTGTTAGTTTTCACCATTATGATCATACATTGCTAGTTCATTTGGTGATAAAACTATTAATTACAATAAACTTTATTTTTGTCTGAAACATGTGAAGGTGGCACTGTGTTCCCATGGAATGATAATGTTGTATTAGAAATTATTATAAAACACTACTTAGGTCTTTGCTTTAAGTATCTTTGGGTCTGTCTTTTGTTGTTAAAATCATTTTGTTTCTCTGTTGTATATGTTTGCAACTAAAATCTTGCATCTACACAAGTTTGTAGAATGGATTCCTGCTTTCACTAGTGAGTGAATTTTAAATAGTAATTTTTTTTATTATTGGTATCGTAGTTTATGTAATCCCTAATGATTAAAAATATTCAGAGAAAGGTAATTACAAATTGATCTTTGAAAAGAAAATACTTTTGTGAATGCTTTTACATGGAGGATTATTTTACAAATTTGAACAAATCTATAAAAGTACGTGCAGTAAGTCCTCAGTATTCATCTCCCCGTTATTTTGTCGTTGCTCTTTTTTATTGTTGACAAATATTAAATTAATAAATATAGTATAATAAATTTCATATTTAAAAATATGTAAAAATCTACAGTGTACTTTTAAAAAACTTGCACAAATGTTACTAAACAAATGCTATTGATAGGTAGGCTCGGTTGTAAACTAACACTAACGGGGCAATAATCTCGGCACGTGACAGCATGTGTGGTAAGAGAGTCAAGGACTTTGTAAAATGAGTTCCAAACCCCAAGTAAGTGGTAGTTCTTCCTACCACCTAACAAAAGAAGAGACAGAAAAAAGTGTTTGCTTAGATGTTAAATGTGTTGATGTGGTTTGAGAAGGGGGAACGAGCTGTTGATATTACTAGGATCCTAGGCTTGCCATCAACAACAGTGTGTTCCATTTGAGCAGATATTGACAAAATATAGAAAAATGCGGAAAGTGTTACATCATGAGATATTACTTTTATTACCAGACAACGTAGTGATATTATGGAAAAGATTATTAACTGTGGATTGACAACATGAAGCAACTTGAGTCGTAGATAACCTTGGGAATAATTTAGGAAAAAGCTCTGAGTCTGTATGAAGATTTAACGCAACAGGAGGGTGAAGGCTTACAAGTGGAATATTTCTCAGCCAGCTGTGGCTGGTTTGATAGATTTGAGAAGCACCACCACTGTCATCATCTTACAGTGTCAAGGAAAAGAGCAAGTACTGACAAGGAAGCAGCTGAACAGTATCAAGCTATTTTGGAGAGAAAAATAGAGGAAGGTGGGTACAAATCTGAACAGGTTTTTAATGTGGATGAGACAGGGCTCTACTAGAAATGGATGCCCAAGAAAACTTACATCTCCAAAGAAGAAAAATGAGCACCTGGCTTGAAAGCTTCTAAAGATCGCATAACCCTCCTGCTTGGAGGTAATGCAGCACGTGATTTTAAGCTAAAACCCTTGCTTATCCAGGTCTTTGAAGGAGTATTCAAAACCCCATCTCCCAATTATATCGTGCTTCAATAATAAAACTTGAGTAACTAGAGGAGTCAGACATAGTGGAGATGCTTGAGTCTCATGAAGAGCTATTGTCTAATGATGATTTAATTTTGTTGGAAGCACACCGAGTGAAGGAAGAAGCGAAGAAGAAATGTTGTAGATGATGCACCTCCCCCACATAACCTAAACACAAAGTTACTGTCTGAAGCATTTCAACACATTGAAAAAGCCATAGCCATATTCACTGAAAATGATCCAGCAAGAGAGCAATGTTATTTAGTGAACAAGCTTTTAATGGGAAACATAGAATGTTATAAAGAACTTTATCAACAGAAAAAAAGGATTCAGTGCAACAGACTCTTGACATGTTTTTCCAAAAAAAGGAAGAAGAGGAGAATCATGATGACCTAGTTCCACCTGTAGATGAACAGGCAGACACATCTGCCTGTTCATATAAGTGACTTCACCCACTCCCAGCAGGTCTTATTATTCAACCTCATCAAACATCTTATGTAAATGTTATGTATGTATTCTATTTTTTTTTATTATTAAGCCATTAAATAAAGATTTATGGATTTTCAGAGAAGTACTATACTATTTATGTGAAGAAATCTTGAACAAAACTCCCCAGGAACATAACCCCTACTATAACATTATTTAAATAGTAATATTGGCTTCACCATTAGTCGCTTCACTATAATCACAATGGAAAGTGAAGACCTCTTGTATAATATTTCACTGCAATCCACAAAATATTTAACTGCACACAATATAGTTTTATAAGTTTTGTTTTTTAAAACTGAGATTCTTCAGTTAACTGATAGTAATTGTTTTTAATTATTTAGATTTTGAAAAAAGTTTGTGTGTATCTTCTGTAAATTTCTTTTTTAATATTTTGAAACAAATTTTTGTAAAAATTTAGTTTTTATAAAATGAAAATAGTTATGCACTGTTCTGAAGATGTTGAGGGCAGTGAAATTGGTTACTTAGTACAACATTAAAGTACTACAACTTTACAACTTTTCTATGTATAAGCAGACATAAGTGTCGTTATTACGAGCATTGTACTTTTGTCCTACTTTTAGGCACCTAGCAGTCTGCTAGATTCCCTTGAACAGCATCTGGCAACATTAGAAGGAAAGAAAGCTACTCCTAGCACAACAACAGCAGGAATAGGGTATTGTATTTGGGAATGATTTTAACTGAGCTAATTAATCAAAAATTTCTAGCTTTTGAGCAGAATCTTTACCTGTAAGTGCTAAAACGTACTTTTACCATTTAATGAGCAAGATGTGGAAAATTTTATAGACTAATCTATGTATTTTAAGATAATTTTATATGATTTACTCTAAAAAATTATTTTTTTTATCAACAGTTCATGAAGTGATGTTATTCACCAAACAAGTTGGTAATTTTAGGGTTGGGCATTATAATAAAATGTCTTTACAATTATTGTCAGGAGGATTTTACTGTATATTAAAAGTTTGGCCAGTTAACGAAGAGATACTTCACAAATGTTTCAGTGGTGGATGATTTTGCTGTATAACTGAAAATTTTCAGAATGATTTACTCCATTTGTAGCCCATGCTGTTTTAGATATTTTGTTCAAAAACTTAATTTTTATCAAATCAAAACTTGTAAAAATGTGTCATAGGGATTATAATTTCTTTCAATATATACTGTTGGTTTGTTGCCAAATTTCTCTTTAGAAATAGTGTCTTAGTATCTTAATTTGGTTTGGTGTTCCAAAGCTATGCACCACATCTGTATTTTTCAGTATATTCACTTGCCTTCTTGCTTTATGTTTTAGCATCACAATTTTTTTTTTCTGTGTATTCATTTGGTTTTGTATCCACAGTCTGACATCACATCATAACTTAAGTTACAAAGTCTTTCGTTCCTACCCTTTATAATGTAATTAATCCTTTTGCATCGGATAGCTTAAAGTGCACATGTCACAACCTTTCACAGAGTTGCATTCAATATTTAATTAAACTACTTTATTATCAAAATGTACGAATAAACTTAACATCAAATTTTAATGTTATTTAAGTTTTAAGTTTTTAATTTTATAAGGAAATATTAAAAACCCTCAATCTACTCTAGTATGAGAACTGTAATATTTATTATATGTCTTTTCTATTCTTTAATTTATTTACCACCCTTCTGAGAAGCTTGGAATTCAATGTAAATATACTCATTATAGTATAGTTATTGCTCAACCAAAACATATATTTATAGTCTTCAGTTTTATTTGGTATCAAAGCCATAAACTAGCAAATGAGATCCCTCCCACCTATTCACATCTTCTTTCTCAAATTACAAATAGTTCTTTGACATTTAATATTAAATTATTTATAACTGATAGAAAGCCAAAGTTTCAATATATCAAATGACATACTTTATTACCTTGTTTTCTGCACAGATGATTGTTAGTTTTGTTACAAGTTCATGCTTGATTCCCATGGGAATGACATTGACAAACTTAGCTGAATTTCTAACAAGTCTTGTTGCACAATTAGAAAGCCAGAATAATTGTGATAGTTATGGGACACGTTCTGCTTTTTGCTTGTTATTATTTTGTGTTCTTTGGAGTATTTTGTAATTAAGTGAAAAATTATTTATTGCAATAGTACCATTAGTATGAAAAAATAAAAAGTAGGTTTAAATGTCATCAACGGTTGACAGCAAAAAGAAGGCCCAAGTAAGTGCTTTATTTCTTGTTTTTCATGTATATCATTTATTTATTGTTATAAAAGTTACTAGAATGTAAAAATTAGAAACTTTTTAGGTTAGATTAGGTAAAATAAAGATTAATAATAAAATATTTTCATGAGGAATGCTCGCAAGTAACCTGTATATTATGCAATTCAATAGGGTAACCTGAGCTGCATGTTCACCAAGTAATTTCAAATTTTATGGTGGGAATATTAGTTTAGACACTGTTCAAAGAGTAATAAATCAATAACATTTAAATATAAATAGATGTATATTATTATGATATTTAAGCTTCAAGTTTCGTGTTCCAATTTCAAGTCATTCTAGAAAGAAAAAAGGCTAATTTTGATTTTTTTAGGGGGGTTACGAGATTAGTCAAATTGATCAACCTCATATAACAGATAAAATGTAAATTTTTTTTAAAAATAAAACATTTGATTTTTGTTTAGGAGATTATGCAAATGAAATTTGAAAATTTTTCAGATGAAGAGAAGCATTCTTAACCTTAATATGAAATTAACTTTGCACTCAGAGCAGTCATTCTTCTGACACTATATAATTAAGGAGAAAGTTGTAGTAAATGCTTAATTAAAAATTCTGTTCATGAAAGACTTAAAGTTTATTGAAAGCTTGCCAAATCTTGTGAAGTTACAATAAGTACTTTCAGAGTTATAGTATGTACCCCACTGTAGTTGCATGGTGGTTACAAGGTTCTGTAAAATACAGGTATCCATCCTGATAGAGTTAAAAAGAATAATACACCTGACCACCACCACCCAAAGACAAGTGTTGCATTAAAAATATAATTTTCCAACCCCTATCCTTAAAAATATATTAAAATAGCAGTTAGAGCTAAACTTTCTTACTTATTTAATTCAATTTGCAGTTAATCAGCCAATCACTTCCTTTTTCATTTTTTGAATATAAATTGGGCTATCTGAGAGAAAGCCAGTTACTTAAAGTTAGTTATATCCAGGGCTTTTTTTGCTTGTATTAGCACTCAGTAATCGTAATGTATTAAATGTGTGCTATTGTGATACTTTAAAAAAAAAAGATGGCTTTGAGCAATTGGTTCTTTCTACAATTCTGGCACAAAAAAAAAACGACTGAAAATTAATTTTACAATGAAGAATATTTAATGAAAAATGCAAGAAATAAAAACTTTGTTGTTGGTTATAAAAAAAATTCTATAGAATTATTAATTATATAAGCCACAAAATCATTAAATTTTAATCTTTCTCTCAATAATGAAATAGTAATTGAAAAAAGGGATTATTAATATTATTGCAAATAAATGCTTTTTTTATTGTGAAACTGTCACTTTTACAGAGTTACATTCAAAGTTTAAACTACTTTATTATTGATGTATATCAATAAACTTGGCAGCAAAATGTAGGTAATAAATCAAATTCTAGTGTTTTATAAATTTTAAGTTCTTATTTTACAAGGAAACATTTAACAAAATTCTCCATCTTCTTTTGAGAATTGTGACATTCTTTTTAGTTTCTTCTCTTCTCTAATTTATTTACTACCCCATTGAGAAGTACAGAATTTAATGTCAGTTACTTATAACATAGATATTACTTAGGCAAAGCATAATTCTTATAGCCTTCAGTCTTATTTGGTTATGTAATCATAAACTAGACAATTGGACTCACTTGTCATGGCCACTTGTTACATCTTTTCTTTCACAATTTGCCAATAGATATACAAAGTTTTAATCTATTGGATGATGTACAGGGCATTTTCTATTTTGTTGTTTTGTTTCAAATTCATTCTCAAGGAAATTCATTGATGAACTTAATTTTTAAAGGCTCTTATCACTTAGTTAGACAAACAGAAAAATTATGATAGTTATAGGACATTGTTTTTTCTTTTTTGTGTTATTATTTTGTTTCTTAGGTGCTTTATTTAATTAAATAAAAAAATTAGTAGTACTATTAGTAGAAAAAAGTAAGCTTAAGTTTCATTCACAGTTGACCAAAAAAAAGGCCCAGAAATGTGTACTACATTTCTTGTTTTTCATGTTTATTCTTTATTTATTATTATAAAATTAACAAAAGATGTAAAAATTAGAAATTTACTAGGTTAGATTATGTAAGGTAATGAATAAATAAATAAAATTTCTTCACAAGGTATTCTTGAGTAGCTCATACAATTTAGTACAGTGATGTGAGCTGCATGTTTAATGAGTGACTTACAACTTGTGTGGTGGGATTATTAGTTAGACACCATTCAAAGGTCAATAAAATTAAGTATAAATAGATGTACAGTGTTGTGAGCTTTAAGTAATTTAGGACAAACGATTGTGGTTTCCTGTTACAATTTGCAGTTATTTTAGAAAGTAAAAAAGGGTAATTTAGATTTATTTTTTTGATTTTATATGTTGGTTATGAGGTCGGTCAAATTGACTAACCCTGTATAGAGTTATAATAGAGAAAATAACAAATAAAATTGTTTCTGAGAAAAAAACGTATGATATTTAGTTAAAAGGTTTTATAGTTTACACACATGAAATTGAAAGTTTTGGATAAAGAAAAGTATTTTTAATCTTAATATGAAAATCACTTTGTACTCCGAGCAGTCATCACTGACTCTATGTATTTATAGACAAATGTTTAGTGAAAATATTTAATTAAAGATTTATTGTCTACAAAAGACTTGTAATATTTACTGAAAGATTGCCAAATTTTGTGAAGCTACATTAAGTACATCCAGAGTTATTGTACATGTACCTTCATGGTGACATGGTGGTTACAAGGTTATGTAAAATACGCAAACCCTTTGCAGAAGTGTTCAAAGAATTATGAGGGATAATGCTGTTAGGAGATAAAAAACCAAAAATCTAAAAGTTAAACTTGTATTGTTTTTCCCAAGTTATACTGCAGAGTGCAAATTTAATGTAGTTTCTCACCTGCATTATTCCTAGTTACCTGTATTATTCTAAGTGACTTTCATTAGTTCTTGTAACCTGCATAAATATAACTTTTATTTATAATATCTAATCAAGTTTTAGCTGTGCATATTTTGTGATCACAGCAAAGTTATAAGTTGCCTGAAAAGTCTACTCAGAACAAGTCTAAAGTAAACCAAACACATCTCTGTGTTGTATGAAAACAAAAGCTGGTGTTCTAAAACATCAGTTTTGTAATATTCTTCAAGTTAGATCTTCAGATTTACAATGCTAAAATCATTCACAAAGAATAAATAATGTCTCTTAAGTGTTCTGTATCATTTATTTGTAAGTATCAGAAACCTGTGAAAAAGCTAGATTTGGTATAAGCCACCCTTGAGGGTGAAGAGAATCAGGCTGACTAACATTCATCTGGCTTTATAACCCTGGTTGCTGGTCAGATGTTTTTGAAAAATTAGTTATTCATTGTTAAGGGGCTGATTTATTTCATATCATATAGCAGGGACCTTCTGATTATAACAGATGATATGTGCAATATGTATGTGTCAAGAAGAATTGGATTCCTGTCTGAAGTTTAGCCTGTTCTTGTATCTTGTATGAATTGTCCATTTACCTGTTTATATTTTTCTTTATCTTCAATACTTTAAATTTGATTTTAATCCTAGAAAATGACATTTTATTTTATTGAAAAACACGATTAAGTTCAAAAGTACGACAATTACAGTGCTCACTTTTTTTCCTTTTACTACACACACACACACACACACACACACACTCACTCATTCACTCACCAACCAAACTCTCTCGCTCTTATGCCTTTGCTAGGATATGTTTTCAAGACATCAAGACTGACTATCCATAGGTTTGTATGACTGCCTACATATTAGCTATGGCACCCAGCTGAGTGCATCTTGATCTGAGAGAAAAACTGCACAATTAAATGAAAAACATTATAAAACTTCGAAGTTGATCACTAAAAATTTTATATATTGAATTTTATAACAATGATTTAAAAATTTGTAATTTTGATTTTAGGTTGGTTAATTTGAGTATGCTCTGGAAGACAAAATTAAGGTTTATGAATTTCTTGAATTTTGTTTCTGAGCACGATATAGTCTCCAAGAAAAGAGTGAAATAGTTTGAACAAAATGACATCAATTTGGAACTTCAATAAAAATGCAATTTTATTGATTTCAACCCAATTACTGTTTCTTCACTTCAGCTGTCATAGTGTGATGTGGTTGTTTATAGCTCAGCTCTGAGAAATCATAGGATAGTAACATAAACACATAATGAAATCTGTTTTTCTATTCTTTTCAAGTATATATGCTAGTATGGTTTCCAGTATAACCTTGCATAGAGATCGGAGTAATAATATCTAAGCTTGATTATATGTACTTTAAATTTTTATGCTAACAAGATTGCTGTTTGTTAAGCTGTGTTTACATTTAGGCCTTATCAGCCTAAGTAACTGCTTGAATGGGCAAAGAAAAGTGCCAAAACAAAATATATATAAAAAAAAAAGATATAAACAAATGTAAAACGAGTTTAAAACTCATTACATATATTAAATGAAACCTTCTAAGTAGTAAATTTGGTGTGGTATAAAAGTTATTTTTATTGTATGTCAGTGATCATAAACAACGAAAACTGTATGCAATGTTTTTTTTGGAATGAAAACAAATAAAATTTACAGTTTTATAGAATAAAATCTAATGGAAAGTTTTATAAGAAGGCAAAATGACATAAGATTGGTATCTATAACAAAGGTAAGCATATTTAATATAAGTATAAAAAATAAGATTTTTTATTTTATAGAAGATGAATAATCTTTAAAAATTGCATCTCAAATTTAAAACAATTTCATCCACTATTTTTTTTTAAATGAATTAAAGTAAACTGTACAATAGGTGTGTCAAATCGGTAACCTAGGTGTTTGATAGTTAATTATAGAATTTAATTTGACAGTATAGTCTCATTGTTTGTGAGGTGCACTTTTTTTATTTTACAATTACGTGAATTTGTTTCCTACTGATGCAGGTACAGTCTCGATTTTAGTAGTGTTTTCTGTCTAGTAATAGCAATATATGATGTTTTTTTTTCCCCATTTTGTTTTATCACTGTATGCCTTTACTTGAGTTTGAACTGTATTTGAAGATCATCATACCATGAATAGTAAAACTTTTGATTTCTTTTATTTTTAGATTTATTTCATTTTCCACAGCTTGAATTCTGCATGATAAAATATTCTTGGTTTTATTTCATGATATTTTTATTTTTTGCTTCCACCATTACCCTACTTTTTTTTCTTACTGTCCTTTTCCATTTTACCCCTTTCTTTCCCAAATTTTCTTTCCCATTTTAGGTTAACCACAAACCTCCAAAAAGCAATCATCACTTTTTCATCCACTAGCAGTTCATTTGGAACAGCTGGAGGTCAAGAAGTCAATGAGTTAAAATCAGATGACCAGCTTCTTAAGGTTGTTGAAGAAGAAGCAGATAATATGAGTCAGCAAAAGGTATTTTGAACAAAAGTCTTCAGTCTCTCTCAAATACTTTATTAGGGAAATTGTTACAACCAATCATCATCCAGGACAGTGATGCAGTTTTATATACATCTTACACAACATAACTGGTTTTAATTTTAAAGTGAACGTTTACAAAATCGAAAGTTATGATGTTTGCTTTCTAAAAAGATTACACAGAGACTAAAATAAGATTTTATTTGATCTTGAGAATGTCTATCATTCTGCTGTACAATAAACCCACCTGTATGAGAAGGGTTAAAAGTTGTTACTGTTATGACAATGTTGTAACTGCGATACTGACTGACTTGGGGACAAACAGAGAAATAAAGGATTTGACTTAGATGAAGTAGACTGACATAGGGTCAAATAGAGAAATAAAGGATTTGACTTAGATGAAGTAGACTGACATAGGGTCAAATAGAGAAATAAAGGATTTGACTTAGATGAAGTAGACTGATATAGGGTCAAATAGAGAAATAAAGCATTTGACTTAGATGAAGTAGACTGACATAGGGTCAAATAGAGAAATAAAGCATTTGACTTAGATGAAGTAGACTGACATAGGGTCAAATAGAGAAATAAAGCATTTGACTTACATGAAGTAGACTGACTAAGGGTCAAATAGAGAAATAAAGCATTTGACTTGGATGAAGTAGACTGACATAGGGTCAAATAGAGAAATAAAGCATTTGACTTACATGAAGTAGACTGACTAAGGGTCAAATAGAGAAATAAAGCATTTGACTTACATGAAGTAGACTGACTAGGGTCAAATAGAGAAATAAAGCATTTGACTTACATGAAGTAGACTGACATAGGGTCAAATAGAGAAATAAAG